TGATAATGCTGTAGGCACTGCAAGAGTACCACTGGAATACTAACTGCCTGCTCCTTTGCAATAGTAATGATTAAAGAACCAGAACAGCCTCCATCCCACAACCACGGACTTATAAACCCAAGAAACAGGGAGTTTCTTAAAACTTAAACAGGCAGTTACTTAAAACAGCTCAGCTGAAGGCCAGGGAGAATGCCTGAGGATTTTGGGGAAAGAACCCCCTAAGTGCTGAAAGAGATGGTCAACCCTGCCAGGAGTGTCTTCACCACTTGCATTTCCTAAGAACTAGCCCAACCTCACACTATGTTTAATCCACAGCTCTCAATTACTTAGAGCTCTGGACAGGTAACCAGTCATTTGCTGCCACAAATGAGACATCTCAAAAAGGGAACTTTAAATGCCAGCCTCCACCTGTGCCTGGAAAACAGAGAGATGGAATAACAGGAGCATGTGCTCAAATATAACATAATGTCATACGTCGAGTCAAACAAAACCTTTGACCTTGAACTCAATAAATTAGGGAGATAAAAAAGAGGAAAAATAAAGTAAAATGAGCTATTGTGACAGATCATACTCATCTACCCCAGTGCAAGCAAAAAGATTCAGGGAAGCCTTTGCATTTCCAATCCATTTACCAAAAAGGCAGAAACACTAGAGAACCAGGACAAGGACTGGGAACACACAACTTCTCCTACAATTACAGTATAACCCAAAGAGATTAAGACTCCAAGCATGCATTACTGTCTGGCTTCTATTCTCCATCTATAATTTTAAAACAAGTAATTTCACTGACACTATTTTATCAGATCACTTAAGGAGCTCAGGTACACACAGAGTGAGGAATAAAACATTTAAATGGAGGAAATATGACAGTTCCCAGCTTGTCAAACGGTACACGCTCCCCAGCCCATTAAGTCACATCAAATGAATTTTCTGGCCTTTTACACCAACTCCAATACTGAAATAACAGAAAAAACACTATTCTTGAAATACACAGCCTTCATAACTTGTTTTGTTCTTAATCCAATCTGCAACACTAGGAGAGTCCTATTTTTTTCCAGAAGGCAGAGCATTAAGGCTCAATTACACTGTTTTTGCCATAAAGGTGTTACCAAAGAAATGGAACCACTCAGGATGAAGAAAGTAGCAGGAGGCCAAAACTTTGATCTCTAATCCCATCTTAACCACAACTGTTTGATCTTAGAAAAAATACTTAGCTTTTAATGCCTTAACATGATACAGAACAATATCATGCTATAAATATTGCACAATCTTTATAAGGGCAATGCTCAACAATTATGATATCAAATTCACTCACCAATTAACCAGATGTAATGGAGGCTCTAAAAGTAAAATTATGCTCCTCTAGTAAACCAGATAAGAGACCCACACTGGATAAGATTATTTTCATCCCTTTTAATGTTTCCCACATCAAATTCAACAACCTGGTCATGCTTCAATTGCAAATCATCATTAATCAAGCAAAAATTGTTACCTAGCAAATATATTAATATTTCATGGGTTTATTTATACTTTAACCCCCATGCAAATCAGTTTAACAGGCAACCCACAAAAAAAAGGGCTTAAAGGGTGCAGCCTATGTTCAGTGAAATGCAAGCTCTGAAGTCTTTCCAGAAACACGTTTGCAACCCGAATCCTTTCAGGAAAAAAGCACTTTGGAACACAATTTTTTAAAATATACATATACACTATCCCTTTCTACTCTTTTTATATCATGGCATAGAATTACGTGAATAATAATTAAAATCTTGATGACAAAATTTAAGTCACTCAAAACTGTAATAGATCCAGTGCATTAATACTTCCAACTAGAAGGAAGTTAATTCATCTGCAAAATGCATCAAAAAAATGGGGTTTATTCTATTTTCTGATTATGGTCAAAAATGTTCAAGCTGAGTAGCTCTGACTATGACCATTTCCTTTTCCAATCAAGGAGCATCCTTCTACTACAAAAGGAAAGAGGATTCTGCACTACATTAACTGAACATTTCTTTGACTCAGCGGAAAAATCAGTGGTAAAAAATATTTTATATCAGTCTGGGGATCTGACTAATTTTTCTTCAAGAATTCTAAAAATACACAGTGTTTAAATAACTCTTTTGATAATACTTTAAACTGACAGTCTACCAATAACCTCCCAAAACCAAAACTTTACAATTTACTGTTTGGAGGTTTTGTTTGGGTGGGTTTTTTAATCTGGATGCGGAGTTTGGGTTTTTTTTTTTTACTATTTTCTTTGTGTCAGACTGTTCTTTACTATTTGTGTTAAACTGCTCCTTTCAACATTTGCCTTACAAGTTGGGCTCCTGTACCAGTCAACCACTGACTCAAGACTCCTGCCCCTTTAGATGCAGAACTACCCAATGAAAGCAAGAGAAGATGTACTTCAAAGACATCCACTCCTAGAAATCAGCAGATACTGAAACCATGTGATTGCACTCACACTGACTAACAAAACAAGCCCACCTTCTCTTCTCTTTATATTTTATGGACTCAAAAAGAATGTTCCAATTAGTTGTTTCTCCTAGTTATTCATATTTAGAAGTGTCCTAGCCTGCTCGTATAACGCTAAGAAAAATCAATGGATAATCCTCATAGTAACACTCCCAGTTTCAAACTGAATTTTCTCTACTTTAGAGAAACATTTCTTATGAGAAAAGTAAGATTACCTTAAACACCTAGAGGAAAAAAAGGCTGCTTCTGCAGCCTAACCGCATTTAAAAATCTTAACTGCTACTTGCAACAGTGTCCACACACTGTCCTCACCAAGGGCATCACACACAAAACAAATCCCCCAAATCTCCACTTACTATAACCTGACTGGTTTTAAGTGTGCTGTATGACTCAGACTAGATCCTCACCCATTTTAAAACGTAACTGGCACTTTTCTGGTATTGTCCAAACAAGCAGTCAGATGCTCTAGAGTCAAAAGTAAAAGTTATATCAACAACAGCCAATACGTCACTTATTTCCTCTGCCGTCATCTCCAATGCAAAGGAAATGTCTGAGACAACATCTGACCCCACTCTCAACCGGCTGAAATGCTACCCAATATTTACAACTCATGACTTTTATTCACAGTCTAAATACCAAGTGCTAAACAGTAGGGATACACAGAAGTCAGCTATTTTACTTAATTTCTTAGAGCAGCACGCTGTGAAGTCATTTTCACATCGGGATGCAGCCCATCACATCGGTCTTACTGGGGGCAAAATGTTGAGAGTTAAGAGCAGCTGACAGTGCCCTTTGCAGGCTGACAGACAAACACAAGGCCACAGAGTGGCACCTTCAGAGAAAAAACTCGATCCAAAAGAGCCCTGAGATGTACTGTCGATGCCTGGGATGTCACCCAGGAAAAAACTCACCTTCAGCGCTGGGCATCAGGCAGCACTACAGCTAGACAAGACCAACAGCCAGAAAACTACTGTCATCAAGGCAGGCTTAGGAATGGGAAAAGGAAAACCACAAGCAGACATAACATTCAAGTTCTCAGGAGATATGCAGAGCCAGCATAAGGGTTTGTACTTGCTGAAAATAAAGCGTGATGCAAAACATTCCTTCACCTTCGATCTGATCTTATCCCTCTCCCTGCACAGCCCTGGGTACCAGCCCTGCACTCACCCCTATCTGTGCTTTAACTCAGGAAAATGACAAAACTATTCCAGCAGAAAACCAATAAACTAGACCACAAAAGGGTTCACCTCGCTAAAATGGCAGAAAACCAACAAGCACTGGAACTGTGAAAAGGGTAGGGAGGGGCTATGCAACTGGAAAGAAAGGAACAACAAGAGCTTGCCTTTTTGGCAGGCTGGCAGCTTGTGAGCCACTGCCTGTGAGGTCAGCTTCCGAGATCCTCTCAGACAGGATGCCTCACTAAAAGCGGGGCAAAGGATCCCAGACAGGTGAAAGAAACAGCAAGGGGCAAGTTATTCATAGAGCACATATGGGAGCGTTTCATACCTGTGACAGATGCTGCAGCAGGACTCATTGAAAACACCCACCATGAGTGTCTTACTAACTATCCACCCAAAACGGAAACATGAAGTTAGATTAAAATCTAAATTAGCTTTGCATTTTAAGCCAGAACTAATCACTGACACTTACTGGTTCAAGAGTTCCTTCGATTAGAGTAACCATTGCCACTGCCATCTGCTGTCCCCATAAAAACGGATGAGAAACGAGCCCAGGTTTTTCCTAATCACATTCCCTATTGGGCAAAACACCATTAAAATTGACCCAGCCTGGCATTCCCGGACTCTACAGCAGAGAAGCCAAGAATACACAGACCTAGAGACCGGGAGGGCTCACTAAAGGCACGTCCCCCAAGGGCTGCTTCAAAATGAGCCCAGGAATGAATGAAAAGATGGAGCTGGAAGACTCGGAGGAGGCAACACAGTTTTTTCTTGAACTGGACTTAAAGCTGCTCACCACAGGTGTTTGGGAAAAACACAGACTGCCCCGTTAACCTCCCCATAAAGTCAGCTAAGTCCAACGATTATACATCGAGTTTCATACACGCACAACCGAGGACTGGAAGGCAGCCGCCTCTGCAGCCGAGTTCTAGGCGAAGGTGGGAAAACCCGAACGTGAAAAAAACATCTCGGGTCACCGCTGCTACGAGCAGGGCTCCTTCACCCAGCGCAACGCGGGCTGGGCTCTCCCAGAGCTCTAGGAACGAACAACCCCGCAAGGCACCAGAGGCAGAGCACAAAGCCATCCCCGAGAGCTCTCCCTGCCCGGAGGGCGCTGCGCGGGCGGCAGCGCGGAGCCCCGAGGTGCAGATGAAGAGAAGCTGCTCTCCGGAGCCCTCACGGCCACCCCGCAGGCAGCTCGCTCCCCTCACGGAGCTCCGCAGCGCAAACTCCGATTTTTAAAACACAAACCATGAGGGAAACGCGGGGCGGCGGCGCGGCGGGGCGCGGACCCGGCTCTTTGTTCGCCGCCGCGGGCAGGCCCGGCCCGGCCCCGGGCCCGACCCTCACCTCGCGGACATCCTGCAGGCACTCGAGCACGGCGAGGTTGTTGGCCCAGCTGTGCTTGGAGCAGAGCCGCACCACGTCTTCCCGACACACCGCCTCCTCCGACAGCTTCCACCCGCTGCCCGACCCGCCGCCGCGGGCACTCCGCGGGGCAGCCGCGCCCGGCCCCGCCGGCTGCCCCGCTCCGGGCTGAGCACCGCCGGGACCGGGAAGGCCGGCAGCAGGGCCGGGCGCCCCCGGCCGCGCCGCCAGCGCCAGCAGCAGAAGCAGCGCCGGGCCCGGGCAGCGGCTCCGGACACGTCCGCACGGCGCCATCTTGGATCCGCCACCTCCGGCGTCCGCCCGCCCACCCCGCGGCACGCACGGCGTATGCAAATCAGCGCGCCCGTGACGTCGCCCCAGCGGGACGCGCCCCTTTCCGGGTGAGAGGGCGTGGTCCGTTCTAGCCCCTCCTCCAGCACGCGCCGTGGCCCCGCCTCGGCCGTTGCCGCCTCAGGAGGACGAGGCGCCACCTCAGGGACCAGCGCGGCTCCGCGGCCCCGACGGCCCTCGCCGCCCCTGCGGGCTCCAGCACCTCCTTAGCGGCCCCGCGACCCCTCGGCGGTCCCGCAGCCTTTCAGGGGACCCCGCCACCTCTCAGCGGCCCCTCACCCTCTCAGCCGCCTCGGATCCCCTCAACGGTTCCCGCAGCCCCTCAACGGCTCCCGGATCCCCTCGGCGGCCTCCGCGACCCCACAGCCACGCAGGGCGACACTGCCGAGCCAGCGGCGGTGCCGGGACGCGAGGAGCCGAGCCTGGGCGTGCTCAGCCGGCAACCGGTCCCGCACCTCCCTCAGCAGGTGCCCGATAGCTGTGGTCAGTTTTTGCCCAAAATCTCATTTTCAGCTCGCACGTCGGCTGCCCAGCGACTGAGGAGGTAGGAGACGTAATGGGGAAACTGAGCTTTGCGGATGACAGTGTTAGTGAGATGGATGAGGAACCAAGTCTGGACAAGGATGAACAAATACAGAAATACAAAGAAGAATTACAGAAGAATGAAGAGAAAATGCAGGCGATCAAAGAAAAAATTAAGAACACTGAAGAAGAAATGCAGGAGATCAAAGAAAAAATACAGAAGAATGAAATAAAAATACTGGAGTACAAATCAAAAATAGAGAAGATCAAAGAAAATATATGGAAGAACGAAATGAAGATACGGATGAAGAAAGGAACACTAGAGGAGATCCAAGAGGAAAAAAGGAACAATGAAGTACAAAAAGAGAATGTAACAAAAATATGGACAAACAAAGAAAAAATACAGGAGCTCAAAGATAAAATACATAAAAACAAAGAAAAAATACAGCAAAACAAATTAAAACTACCAAAGAATGCAGAAAAAATACTGAAGAATGAAGCAAAAACAGAGAATGAAATAAAAATGCGTAACAACAAAGAAAAAGTACAGGACATCAACAAAAAAATACAGAGCATCAAAGAAAGAATAGAGGAGATCCGAGAAGAAATGCAGAAGAACAAACAAACAGAGGACGCCAAAGAAAAAATACTAAAGAATGAAGAAAAAATACAGAAGTGCAAAGGGAAACTACGTAAGAATTAAGACAAAAAATTGACTGGCTGCTAAAACCACAGAAAATCTTTAATAAAATGCTGACATTCAACTTTCCTGCTGTCATTTCTCCATGCTGAGTGCCAAGTTATCAGCTGGACTGATCTTCTGCCTATATATGGATGCACTCCTGGCCCCTCCTGGGGCAGGATGCAGGGCTGCCTGGAGGGGATGGGATAAATCCAAGAGCCTGGGGTAGCTGCAGGGAGCAGAGAGCTGGCCAAGGGCAGAAAAATACGTTTTGGGGGTGCCATGAGACAGCTCATTTTCGAGGTTGGTGGGTTGGCTGCACCTCATGCACTGTCAGTGCCAGGCACTCTGTTTTGGGGGCTGGGATTTGGCATGTCACATTCCATAGTGGCTCTGGGCTTTGTCCATGGGAATGGAGGGAAAAAGGCTGTAGGTGTGATCAGGTCTCCAAAACAGGGTCTACAGTGGCTGATCCCATTGTGGATGGGATCCACAAGTTCCTCCTAGAGCAATAACTGGGGGTTGGATGCTGAATTTGGTGATGGATCATCTAAAAGCAGTGTTTGCAACCACACAGCCCCCTCAGAGCAGTGTTTTGGGGATGCTGAAGCCCACTTTGCCTGAGCAGCCAGCCAGACCCAAAATACCAAAACAGGTAAAAAATACCTGTCCAAGTGCTGGGGCAGTGGCAGCAGGGGGACACAAGTCCTCCACCAGCTCAGCAATCGCAGCTCTTCGGATGTCCTGCCAGCATCTCACTGGGCCAGCTCACAGCACCCTCCCAGGATGGGGTTGCCCGCAAAACTCAGATTTGCTTCCAACAGCAGATGGAAATGGGGGACAGGGTGAATCCCACCTCAATTCCCCTCCTTGTTGACTCCAGGAGCAGTTTTCCCAGCACAAGCTGGCATCAGGCCAAAGTCAGAAGCTTTTGCCTGCACACCAGGATGCTCCACGGGTGTGCCCTGGTGCGGTGAGGTTGAAGCTCTCAGAGCTGTAGGGCTGCTCCCTTCCTGCCCCAGGCTGCCTCCTCCTGCCTGGAAGAAACCCTTCTCTTGGGAATGCCTCTGACTGTCTCACCCAACCCAGGAGCTACCAGAACCCAGTGTGGCCACCAAGCTGCAGCCATGTCATCCAGGTGAAGGCAAGGGCAGCAGAGGGAAGAGCAGTCTCCATGCTTCTTGTGTTTGAATGTCACACTAGGACACAGCGCTTGGGAAAGTGGCTTTGTGCTGGCACCCAGGGGCTGTGCAGCTGGGAACACTTGAAAACAAAAGCCAGCAAAATCCAGCCCGTGCTTGGCAGCCTATTTGGTTTAGTGAGAATTATTTGAAGAGTTAGCCCAGTGCAAGAGCTGGCTCTGCTCCTTCATCCATCACAGGATGAAGACAGAACAGAGCAGTGGAGCTGGGTTACAGCTCACTTCTTTCCACCTTTGGGAGATCTCCAGAGACTAGTTTTTTCTTCAAAGAACACCCTCTCCCAACATTAGATTTTACTAAGGCTTTACTAAGATTTTACTAATCCTGTGTTGCTCACTGTTAAACAGGCATTCCATAAAAGAGCCCTATGCTTACCATGTCCACACAGTGAGTTAAACAAGGAGGAGGTTTTTCTTTGGGCACAGCAACATCTCTGCCTGTGTGTTAACCCCAGCGGCTCCTTGCAACTTCAGCCCCTCTCCTTTGGCAGAAATCCCCTTATTGCTTCATTTTAAGCATTTTAGCAGTAAGGCTTTCACCCTCTGGGTGTTGCATTATGAGCTTGCAGTCCCCTGCTTTTGTAGTGGGCAGCACTTTTCAGTCTCATCGCCTTGAATAAGAAACCCCATTTCTATGGCCCCAGCTTTGCAGAGCGAGGCCGGAGTGAGCTGAGCTGCTGGGACACTTCTCGCTCCTTCCCAGCAGTGTCCTTGCTCTCCAGCTCACCACTTCAGGGAGAACAAAAGTTCTTCCTCAGTCCATGCAAAGGAGCTGCTCCAGTTTTTAATTGGATACAGACTGCTTGCTCCCATGTGGCAGTTCTGAATCCCAGCTTAGCCTCCACTCAGTGCCCTGAGGCCCTCTCCCTTGCGTGCAGCCTGGCTCAGCTGCCTCCCTCCAAAGCTCTGCATCCCCCAAAACTCCAGCATTGTCTTTCCCAGTGGACAATCCTATCCACCAACAAATCCTGCTGCAGAGAGCTGAGTTGAGCTGACATTCAATGCTATTTCTTGCTGGCTAAGGAAACAACCCCAGTCTGGTATTTTGTGGTTTATTTGCATGACACACACAGGTTCAGCCCCACTTTTTCAGGTTTTCTTGTAGGTCAGAGTCCTGCAGTGCTGCTGCTCATCCACATTTGGAAATAAGCAGAAGACTATGGAAATACTTAACTTCCAAGGAAGCTGTGGACAAAGAGGAGACAATATTTCAGCTACAACCCTGTGAGTGTTGAGCGCAAGGGGAGTTTTGTGCCTCTCAGGCACAAAGTTTCAGCCTGACATGACCTTTGTTTTTCCCCAAAAAGTGATGCTGTTGACACATCTTTGCCTCACAAACCCTCAGAAGCCCCAGGCCACAAGTGCAGAGACTGTTGCCCCCCATACTGATGCAGATCTGTGTTGCAGTTAGCACCTACCATTAGGAAAAAAATATATGGGCAATTTTCCAGCCCATCCTCCAACCTGCCACAATTCTTTCCCAATTTCACTTATGCTTTCCCAAGCACTCAGTGCTGCTGCCAGCTTGACTCCATCAGAAGTACAAGGGGCTCACTCCCTGTTCCACGGCCTCTCCTGCTAGTGGAAGCACCAAATTGGACTTGATGCAAGACCAAAGCCCCTGGACCCTCAAATTAATTACGCTTCACAGGGTGGGATAATTACTGAAATTACTTTGAGAGATTTCTTTTCTCTTGACCAGCACATGCTGGAGAGAGCATGCTACCTGTAAAGTTTGTCTCAAGGATTAGATCAGCTTTCTAGGACACAGATCCCCAAATTCCCTTTTCTTTTGCACTTAGAGGCACTATTTTCACAGAATCACAGAACATGCTGAGTTGGACGTGACCCAAGAATCAGCAAGTCCAAGTCTTAGGCCTGCACAGGACCATCCCCTAGAGACACACTATGTGCCTGACACCATTGCCAAATGCTTCTTGAACTCTGTCACTGTTGGTGATGTGACCACTCTCTCGGGCAGCCTGTTCCAGTGCCCAATCACCCTCTGGGTGAAGAACCTTTTTCTGACATCCATCCTAAACCTCCCCTGAAACAGCTTCAGGCCATTTGCATGAGTCCTGTCACTGGTGACCACAGAGAGGAGATCAGTGCCCCTTCTGTTTCCCTGATGAGGAAGCTGCAACTGCAGTGGGGTTTCCCCCCAGTCTCCTCCAGCTGAACAGACCAAGTGACCTCAGCCACTCCTCATATGGCTTTCCCCTCAAGGCCCTTCACCATCTTCCTCACCCTCCTTTGGACACTCTCTAACAGTTTAACAGCTTTTTTATATTGCAGTAACAAAGCTGCACACAGGACTCAGGCTGAGGCTGCAGCAGAGCAGAGCAATCCTGTCCCTCGACTGCCTGGTGACGCTGTGCCTGATGCACCCCAGGCCCACAGAGCCCAGTGCTCTGTAACACCAGGGCACCCACAGCTCCAGCTGCCATCTGAGCACAGCACACCTCTTTCAGCAAAGTAACGTGAGCAGGAAGCATTTCTGCCTCCTCAGCAGTATGTCTAAATATCTTTAACTATCATAAAAGCAAACAAACAATGATAA